GCTTCAACTTTACTGTAATTTTTGCCCCAACTGCCCTCCCTGCAGCAGCACAGGGACAGGGCAAGCACAGGGAGCAGGGAAGGACCTGCCCTCAATGCCAAACATCACCTGGCACCACAAGGCCTGGAGATGGGCAGTGCCTGTCACAGGAGTCACCCAAGACAGGCCCTGCCCTGCGCAGATGAATATCTAGAAACCACGGGACAAGGGAGGTGGGAGGGGAAACAGAGGCAGAGAGACAGGATTAGCCCTAGATCACAAGTGCCTGGTCTCCTCACCCTCCCAGCACCCTTTAACATCTTGCTGCCCAACCTCCTCTGGGAGCCTCCTGCTCCCATTGCCAGCAGGGAGCATGACTACAAATCCCACTCAGTCCCCAGCAAGTCCTGTCCTGCTCCACCCAGGACAGACAGGAACGGGATTTGCAGGTAACGTCTCTCATTCACACTGCTGCTGGAGACAGACTTCCCAGTTTGGGTTGGGTCTGTGCTCCAGCACAGCCACATTTACAGCTATAACCCAGGGTCAGACCAAGCCCAGGGATCAACCCGTGGCTACACGGCACTAAAGACATCGGGATAGCTGACCCAGGAATTAAATAGGGTCTCTATCAGATACCACATCCCAGCAAAGAGCCCTGGGTGCCCAGGTCATCTCATTGCTCCTGGAAGTGATGCTCTGGGGAGGCAGCACCCAGACCAGGAGGTAGTTGACACCATCTTCATCCCCTCTCCCCAGAAAAGCAGCTCCTGAGCTTGCTGCACCCAGTTTATCTTGCAGCTTTAGCATCCTGCAATGGTTTTGCAGGAAATCAGTGTCCTCCAAATGCCAGAAACCAGGAGACAAGGCACCAGCAGAGACCAGCACAGTAGGACAGGCTTGCTAAAGACCTGTGCCAGGAGCTTTACTGTGCTGCCCCCACAGAGCATCACTCCAGCAGCTCTGGGTGCCAGGCGAGCCACACTAATCACACCAAGACCAACTAGGACACTGCATTCTCCCCATGAACACCCACAGCTCTGCTCACACCATCAGCAGCTCATCCCCCCACCCAGCTCTAGGAACAGATCTGCTACTGCAGATCAATCTGTGGGCACAGCAAATCAGCAAAGGGCTGAAATACGTTGGCACAGGCAGAGACCCCCTTCTCCTTTGGGCCACGTCACCAGCATTTGCCTGCTCATGGCAGGATAAGTGGAGCCCATTGAAGAGAGAATTAGCAGTAAGATCCTGGTAGCAATCACCTCCTGGATTCCACCTTCCCAGCATTAGTCAAAACAAGAATCATGCAATTCCCACCCAAGGGGACCTCCCAACACTTTGGGAAGGAGGCACCGGGAGAGTTTGTAAGCAACACCTTGGGCACAAGTGCTTGGCCAGGCAGAAGTGAGAGGCCATGGAGTAATGGCAGGGATGCTCATGGAAGCACCCATACCCTGCACAGCAGTGCCCAGGGTACAAGAAATGTAGGAAATGAGTCAGTGAGTTTAGGTAGGAGCAGACCAGATCGAAGTACTGAGCGTTTCATCCATGCCCAGTGCCACGGTGATGCTTAGGGGGCATTACACGTCTCCCCGGCTAAAAGCATGGAGAAGAAAATAATTAAATGGGTGATTTTTCAGTATGGTTACATCCCTATTTTCTCCAGGATTTTATACAAAGTATTTGACTGTGATACCAGAGCTGTGAGAAAGAGCTAACAGCTATGACAGCGAGGTGACAGCCTTACCCACAGCCCACTCGATCAATACAGATGGATCTGCTGCTCCGAGGGCTGCTGGCTCCCAGAGCCAACATGCCCCCTTCCCCATGTGCTGCAACAGAACCTGTGGGTCTATCCTACAGGTCCCCCCAAGATGGGGAGTAGCTTGGGGGTCCAGGCAACATTGCACTTGCCCAGCACACAGGAGGGGGTGGCAGAGGCCAGCCCTGCTCCCAGAGCTCAGCCTGAAAACCTTGTTCTGGCTTGTTTTCCCACTAGCTTTGGGTGCCTGACTTGTAATAAGTAAGCCTGAAAAGCAGGCTCCTTTTCAGACATGCCAGGCACCCGCAGCTCCAGCTCATAGACGCGTCTCCAGGGAGTCAAGTTCCAGGTGCACCCAAAAAAACCCGTGTTTCAGTCAATACCCAAAGGCCTCTGCTTCCTCGTCTGAGAAAAGCTGGGCAGTGCCCAGGCCCAGGACTCCGAGGCTCAAGGGGAAATTGCTTTATAGCAGCCAGTCTAATTGCACTGAAATTATGAGATCAAGCAGTAAATTCACGTCTGTGTTCGTTGCTCTGGGTGGCAAAGCTGCACTGGCAAGTGCCTGATCTCCAATTGCTGCAAATTCACGTTTCATTGGAAAGGGAAGGAGGGGGTTAATGAAGGAGAGCATTGCCAGTTGGAAGTGCTACCTAAAAAGGGTTTCTCCTACTAGCTGAAGCAAAATGGTTTCTCTTGCCAGCTTGTTTACTCTGCTGCTGAGAGCAGGGGACCGCCAGGTTTTGCTGCTGGAGCCCACTGCAGGATCGACGGCTGCGAAACCAGCCCTGGCACCAGGACACGAGCAGGGCTGGACCAGCTGTGGTACAGCTGCACCATGCCCAGCCCAGGGCCAGCCCCACATCACAGGACCAGCATCATCTACACCAGAAAATGTGCAGCTACAGCCCTCCAGAGAGCAAATCCTGGGCCCACTCTCTTCTCCTTTGGGGAAGTAATGGTTCTCACCATTTAAAGGCCAGTTAAAAGCTGCAATTACATTTAACTGAGATGGTTTTACATGAACTGTCCACTACAGCAATAGGGTCCTTAGGGCCCTTTCCATGGGAAGGGCACGTGAACCCCAGCAGAGACCAGGGAATAGGGGCGCTGGACAGAACACAGCGGTGTTCCTGTGAAAGGCAAGGCACCAAACCCACCCTGCCCCAGCTTGCTGCTGCAGAGCCAGAAAATGGACAGGACTCGTTATCCTCTTTAGAAAAGCAGAGCTTGCAGCCATGTGCCAAGACAGGTATCAGCCAGATTCCTGTCTCTGGGAGATTTTGGAGTCCATGGGCCAAACTGAAGCAGCGCAGCTCTCACAGTGCACAGCCCGTCCCAACTCCGGGATTAAAGCCACCGTGTCTGCAAACAAAACACTGGCACCTGCCAGGAGAGCCAGTCGGGGAGGAGAGCCAGCCTGCAGCTGCCACAGCCTCACCATCCAGAGCACAGTGCCCAGCAGTCAGAGTGAGGATCAGGCCCAAGTTTTATAGCCTTTATATTAATTACCCAGAATCTAAATAAGATTAAAGTTTTAATTCCGTCTTCATCTCCTAGAGGCTCCTGCTGTGCTCTCGGGTTTTTCCTGGTGCCACGAAGCTTCTCAGGCAGTTACAGCAGAGGGCACTTCTCTGACAGCCAGAGACAGCAGCAGCTCCCACATCAGGGCTGCCCCGTGATGCCCAGCCGGCCCCGAGGACGCACCACCCTCTGCACATCCCTAAACCCGGCACTGCTTCAAGCAGGGCCCTGCAAAGTCCACCTGACCCTTCACTGAAAGGCATGACCTGAGGCCAGTGGGGCCAGATGACAATTAAAGAGCAGAGGGATGGTACTGGGCAGTGTCCTGAGGCCATGCTGCGAGTCAGAGGTGGGATGGTGAGCAGGAGCTCGAGGCAGAGGGTGTCTTTGTGGCTGGCACTATCTGCCCTCCAGCCACCCCACCTCAGCTGGCCAATGGGCAATTCAGGCTCTTAATCTTGACCACCTAGGCTGTAGTTTTACAGCTGGAGGTAGGCCAGAGAGCAGCAAATGCCAGCTGAGCAAGAGAGGCAATCGCTGCCTGCGCTGGCTGGGTGGAGGATGTGGCACAGACTGGCAGCAGCAGCGCTCACTGCCCTGGTTCCCCAGTGCTCATGAGGCCACAGATAATGCTGCAGAGCCGCAGCTGGGGCTCAGTCCACAAGCACCAACCCCAACACTCCATGATGGCAGAGCCTTGGATGTTGCTGGGCAGGAGCAAGGCCTGGCTCCAGCTACCAAAGCACCCAAAGCTCAGCACTGGTCTGTGTGACGTGGCCAAACCCCAGTCATGCTGCACCCCATAGCATCTGCACAGACCAGTTCCAGTTATCGCCTCCTGGACCTCCAACTGCTATGCAGCCACAGCCTTGGAAAAGCCAACCTGCAGCCAAGAAGAACTGCAAGGGAGAGAGACTGGTGGAGGAGAGAAGAAGGACACAGCACAATCCTCCATCTCTAACACTGCCTGTACCCACTGCCTGGAGCTACAGCCGCCCCTCTGGACAGGGCTGTGATCACTTCCCACATTACAAGCAAGGAAAGCAGGTCAAGAGCATCCTTTAAGAGCTTGGGAATGCACAGTGTCATTCACCCCCATTTGCGTGGCTGAAGGCAAACTGTGGAGAAGGTTCCTCTATGAGCAAGAAGGACTTAGCCAGCTGCTGCTCAGGGGACAACAAGCTGCCCCAACTGCCCTTCCACAGGGACAAAATCCTCTGTGGTGCTGGGTCTGCTCCCATTCCCTTGGGGGGAAGACATGGTCAAGCTAAGGTAGCAGAGTCCAGCCAAGCCAGGAAGCAAGGAAAGCCCTCTGAGAATCCCCCCACAGCACAGGCTTGGCACAGTGCCCTCGCCCACTGCTGATGATCCAAGTGACCCCTTTGTATCCCTGCCCCTGTGGTTTAGAGGTTGGGCTGCACCAGCAGGAGAAAGGGCTTCAGAGGTTTTTTTTCCACTGGGCTCTCTGCAACCTGCAGACAGGAGGCTGCCTGTAGCCACCGCTCAGGTATGTACACCAGCGCGTGCCCCAGGGCAGGCACCCAGCCTGGGGGACCTCTGCAGCCAGGGGGAAACCCCCTCCTCTATCCCCTGCCTTCTGCTTTCTACACAAAATGCTGTTCCATAAGTAGTTCCCGTTGTCCCAGCACTGCAGTCCTTTCCTGGCTCCCCAGCTCATGGTCCCTTCTCCCACCCAAACACTGCAGCCCCTGCCCCCAGAACCCCCAGAACTCACCTGCTGGCCAAGGGCTGCTGCTCTGCAGTGACGTGAGCTTCCCCAAGTGCCGCTACTCCCCGGGCAGGCAGCTGGGTGTCTCTGTGACCAGATCCTTTCAGCAACAAACGTGGGGACAGCCCTTAGCCCTTGCACCCCCCTAAATTCATCCCTGAGCTTCTGCACCCCTTAACCCCACAGGAGCCAGCCTAGCCCCCTCCCATCACATCCCCTTGTGAGGGGGAGGAGAGGTTGCACTGCCCTGCAGAGCCAACACAGCTGTGTGGGATGGGAGGTGCTAAAGTGGGCTCTTAATTAATTCAGGTGAGCCCTTAATTAGCAACAACCCGTGAAAGGTCCAGCTGGGGGAAATCAGGTGTGATTGGGGCACTTTGTGAGCAGTGACTGATGCGCGGTCCTGCCCCTACATCGGGGGAAAGCCCTGACTCTCGGAGAGAGTCACGATGACGGCTCTCCAAGCGGGAGAAGGGGGTATCACCGAGGGGCCACCCGGCCAGGCTGAGGTGTCCCCAACACCTGAACCTGGAACGCCCGGGGCTGGGGCAGCCCAAAGCGGAGCGGGGCAGCCTCCAGCAACCCCGGAGAGGGCATTCGCAGAGGGCGCTGAGGATGCCGGTACCACCGGGGGTCCCGCTGGGGACAGGGGTGTCACAGAGCGGGGCGTGGGGTACCCGAAGAGCGGGGCGGGGTGGACCGTGCCGCGCCCCCGCCCCCACGGCCGCTCGGGGGCCGCCCACCGGGGCCGGCACCGCCCCCCGCTCACCTGTGCGAGGGGAGGGGAGGGGGGAGGCACCGCCGCGGCCCCACCGCCGCTCCGGCGGGACCCCCGGCGCCCCCGGTACCCGCCGGGACCCTCACCCCGATCCCCCTCCGCCCTCCCGCGCCGCGCCGCGCCCGCCACCGTTTGAACGGCGCGAGGCGCCCGCCTCGCCCCCATTGGCCGCGCCGCCCGCCCGTCAAGCCTCTTCCCGCCTGCCCATTGGCCGCGCCCGCCGGGCGGGGCGGAGCGCAGGGGCCCGGCGCGGCGGTATAAAAGGCGGGGGCCGCGCGGGCGGGCGCTCAGTGCCCCGTGCGCGACAGGTACGGGCGGGCTCGGGGGGGGGGGCGGGGGCGGTGCCGGAGCGGGGGTGGGCGGGGCGGGCGGGAGCGCGC